GCAGCTGTTTGTTGAACTGGATTCTTAGCCAAGGCGTCTAGATCCTCATTCCCTGCTCCCTTGTCTTAACTTCCCAACTGATCCCTTCCTCCTGCAGGCAGCTTAACCCAGCACTGGCTATTCTGAGTCCAAGAAAAATCATTTAAAAAGTGGGACCACAGATTCAAAAGATCATCATTAAATAACAAAGTCCTTGAGCTCTTATCATAACCATAGAGGCAATCTCAAATTTACTGCAATTTAGAATTCTACTCACAGATTGCTGAGTTACTATATTCTTAAATTTAATTCAGTATCATCATTTTCAACACAAATGCTTACAAGGTAAGCCATTCTTACAGCTATACAAACTGCTTAAACATAAAAAATAATAATATGCAGTGATAAATTCTGAACAGGGAACCTACATGTTACAATTAGCTCCACCAAAGTAATCTATTAAACATTAGAGGAAAGCAAATTTGTAAGCTATGTGCCAAAAGTTTGCTTGTGTCATTTATTTTATACACAAAATGCTTGGCATTTATTTTACACACAGAAAGATGTTAGAAATGGTGGTTAATTTCCCAGGCTAGCCCTCAAAAGTACATTTAACCCATAGAAGAGATGAATACCATGTATCTTCAGAAAACCTAACTGCTGTGGCAGGAAGATGTAACCAAAGTTGAAAGACAAATACCATTATGTTCTCACTCACATGGAGGAGCTAAGTAAGTTGATTTTATGGAGGCCAAGAGTAAAATAAGAATTACCAGAGGCTGGGAAGGGCATTGTGTGGTCAGGGGGAGTGAAGAGAGGTTGGTTCGTTGGTACAAATGTACAGTTAGAAGAAACAAGTTCTAGTGTTAGATAGCACAGTAGTGTGACTATAGTTTACAATAACTTACTGTGTATTTCGAAACAGGAAGATTTAAAATGCTCTCAACACAAAGAAATGACAAATGTTTGAGGTGATGGATACCACAACTGCCCTAATTTTGCTGTCACACATTATATGCATTTATCAAACTATCACATGTACCCCATAAATATGTACAATTATGTATCCATAAAGAAGTTTAAAATTGTATGTAAACATAAAACATATATGTACACAACACCCATCTGTACATATACACACACGTGCACATGTCCTATTTCTATAAATATAAAAGCTTCTTTTTAAAAGATTTTTCTACATTTCTCAAAAGTACAAATATGGATTTTGTGTATGACATTTTTACAACAGAATTAACAAAACAAAATTTCCAACTTTTCTTTCCAAAAGGATCTTTTTTATTATGAATTTGTTTTGAAAAGCACTTAAAAATTTCCCCTTAAAATTTCACCTTTACTTTGAAATGACAGGTTAAGTATCATTACCCCACAATCTGGCTAAGTCACAGCCACTGGCTTAAACAGGGCAGCAAACTTATTTTTAAAACAATATAGTATGTTTACCTTTTTGTGAATAAACAAACAAAAGCTCAAGTCATCTTTCATATTTTTCAGCTCTTACAGCGGTGCAGAAGATTTTTAGCTTCTAATTTGTCACCTAAGAGTCTACCATTCAGATAGCTGAACGGGAAAGTCATTTACCGGGCCACGTGAAGAGCAGTACTTCGAAACACAATAAAGACAAGAGTTCTCAACTCGCTCTTCTCACTTCTTGTAACACACATGTGACGCCTGACCGTCTGTCAAAAGGACTGACTGTGGGCACGTCAATTCATATTTTACACATTTGTGAAGCCTCACCTCTTCCGTTTTTAAGATAAAAAATAAATATAACACTTTATTTCCATGCCATAAAGGATTATCTCACACTCTCTGCCCATCCCACATTAGGTCTTTCTGTGTACACAAGCATGACGGAAACACGGTTCCTTTCAGAAGCCCTGAATTTAAAAAGGACTGATAAAAATAAACAGTCAGTCTATTTGGAATATTTCCTTCCTAAAGATTCCTCCTCCAGATTTTTTTGGTTTTGTTTTAACATTACCATGCCAAGTCAAACACTCTCCAAAATTTCCGACAACTCCAGAAAACGTTATCAAGGATGCGGATCGATCTATGGGGAACTATCACTCATCTCTACAAATCTTTAACCAGAGGATTTAATACATTTTAACCAGATCAAAGCTTCACTTGCTTTGATGTTTTATCTTTTGAGGTGTCCATATTTTATCTTGACACTGCTTTTCTACTATGAATACATTTCCTTTTCTTGGAAGTTTTTCTCCTGCTTCCCTGCCTATCAACACTACAGTTCCCAATTCCTATTTTAGCAGCCAGCTATGGCTGCAAAGGCTTCTGTCACAGCCAAGAGCTATAATCCTCCTGCCAAGCTAGCTCCTCACTGGGTAGAGTAATAAATGCAAGTGAAGATCCAAATTTGCTTACCTGGCACTTCCCTAACCAATCAAATCAATACTAACCTGAAGGTGTGAAATTCTGGAAGGATTTCTAAACCTAAAGATATGTTAACTATAGAAAAATAAGCTTCTGTGGGCCAAAATACAACCATAAACAAAGTCAAAAGGCCAACATAAAACTGGAAACAAATACACCAAAAAATTTCAGTAAGTATGTCAAGGAGTTGTGGTTTGTTCACTAGTAGTTTAAAAACAATAGCAACAAGACTTAAAAAGAGTGCGTTCTTATTTATAAACATAAACTTATCACATGTTCTGTTTCTGTTTTTAAGACAACCCTGACTGAGTTCCCACCATGCCCACAGGCACCTTCAGAGGGGTTCTTCACACTGCAGTCCCTGTGCCTGGCTCCTCAAGACGCTACCATCTCAGGGACATCTCATCTGACCAGAGACAGTGACTGACCCAGAAGTAGCCCGGCCTGGCCCCTCTGCTTTGGAGTTCCGCTCAGGAGCACTTAGATGGAACTTCAGCTATCCAGACTTTGTCTAGAGCAGTGTAAAGGCAAGATACACAAAGAAGGGAGGGAACTTTTTCTGTCACAACAAGGACCCTTCTCCAGGGTTCCCTTTAATATTTTATGAATCTCAAGAATTCTGGCTGAATCCCTTTTTCTATAAAGCTGTCATGATTTATTTTAATCTAGGAGGCTCCTCTCCCCACTGACTGGCCAAGTAATAAGACCAAATGTCCCAGTTAAAACACCCACTTCTCCATACTCTCTTTCTTTCTTGGGGTGACACACAGACTTTCTTTCTTTTCTTTCTTTCTTTTTTTTTCTTTTTTTTTGAGATGGGGTCTCATTCTGTTGCCCAGGCTGGAGCGCAGTGGTGCGATCTCGGCTAACTGCAACCTCTGCCGCCCACGTTCAAGCCATTCTCCTGCCTCATCCTCCCGAGTCGCTGGGGCTACGGGCGCCGCCGCCACGCCCGCCAAACTACTAAAGCTTTCTTTTTTTCAGGCTTTTGCGGCAAACACAAGAAACACCAAGAGAGGCTGGGAAAGGAAAACACCAATACAACTGGGTACGCTTATGAAACCAAATTTTAATAGACAGAATCTATAACCTATGTTTCATACTTTCAGGGATGATAATAAATTTTGAAGTTTTCTCAGAAACTGTTTTTTTTTTTTTTTTTTTTGGAGACAAAGTCTCACTCACTGTCACTCAGGCTGGAGTGCAGTGGCACAATCTCAGCTCAGGGCAATTTCCAACTCCCGGATTCAAGGGATTCTCCTGCCTCAGCCTCCTGAGCAGCTGGGACTACAGGCCTGCGCCACCACACCCAGCTAATTTTTGTATTTTTAGTAGAGACAGGATTTCACCGTGTTGGGCAGGCTGATCTCATACCCTGACCTCAAGCGATCTGCCTGCCTCGGCCTCCCAATCAGAAGCATTTAATTCAACTACTTTTGTGAGCATAAATAGGAACACAAAACAAAGACCTTAATCACTGCTGTTAATGATATATCTTAAACATAAAAAGGAAAATTATTAAATCTTGAGGTACAATTTCAACTAGTATCACCAACTTTTGGACTAGTCTTTGTAAATTCCAGATGATCAAACTGTACTCCAGAAAATAATTTTAAACGGGTCCGGTAAGGCATGCCAGAGATAAGGAGCAAGCTAGAAGTGCAGAAGAAAGAACTTAAAGAGCTCCAAAAGCAACCCTTTTTTTCAAGTCTAGGAGACAGTAACTATTCCACTGATGGTGGGGTGGGGGCGGAAGAAATATCCCCTGGCCACTCCCCAATGAACAGAGTGGCTGGCTTTCCTACCACCAAACACATGGGGGTACTGCCCTGGAGGAACTCTAAGCTGGCTCTGGAAAATGGCAGCTTTCAGGGCCCCTGCAGATGAATCCACTGGGTGCCAAACAAAATATATGACTCTTCAAAAAACAAATCGTTTCTATCACAGTTACAAATAAATGAAATTCACAACTCTTATGTAAATACTGCTATTCCAAGCACGTTTCCAATGATCCAAATGGAGCACCTGATGGCATGTGTATGTAATCCGTGCAGTATGTAACCCATCTTCCGACAACACTGACATCCCATGGCCTCCTGCTAGATGTTTTGATGAGAAAGGAGATGACCTTAATTAGGGGGAAAATGCCTAGATTCAAATTTTATAAAGCACTCAAGTGATGTGCTTTTTCTTAAAAATGTTTAGAAAATTAATAGTGGGGTCCTGACCCCAGTAAGATGATTTTACAACTCACTAAATGGATCACGAGTGAATAGAAATGCTTTGGAGCACGATTTTCCACACTTAAGTGCCATATAACATAAACCTTTGCCAAAGTAGTTGGTCACTTTTTAAAAAAATATAGACTTTTTTCCCCGAGCAGTTTTAGGTTCACAGCAAAACTAAGTGGAAGGTACAGGAGATCTCTCATCTACCCGCTCCTTCCATATAAGCACAGCTTCCTTGAGTTGGTCAATTTTTTAAAAGCAATACATGTTCTTGCTGGAGAGAAATCAAGACATTATCTTGATTTCAAAATTCTGACTGCAAATGTAAAGAAGCACTGTTGTGTGCATTTTTATGAATACATTAGGAAAACAAATACTTACCATGTAGCATCCAACAAGGAAGGCAGCATTTGCTTGTTTTCTCTGATCAGACCCAGTAAAATGAACAATTTTCTTCCTTAACATTGTAATGGACTGCATAAAAATAAATAGCTGTTAGCATTTTCTTTTTAATTTCAAGTCTTCCACAATTTCATTTTGTGATGAAGATTAATTCCAAATCCCACAATGTATAACCATTCGCATTATTAGCAAGACCTTTGAAAAGATGAAGATTGATACCCACAAATACCATATACCTTCCCATAAAAAGGCACATTCTGCGATGAGAATGGACATACAATTAGAGAAGAGGGGAGGAGACATGAATGGACATATGCTTAAAGCACGGGCTGCCTCTAAAAGAACAAAGCAAGAGTGATAGAAAAGACAACCTTTCCTTCTGTTTGGTTTTTAAAGATTTCTTTAAAAACCTTTAAGTTAAAATAAAAAGGTCTACAGAATTGTCTACAGTGTTATAAGCCAGGGCAGTGAATAACCAGGGGAGGTGTGTGCAGAGACAGGAACTGGAAGACAGCATGGAGGGCTGCTGTGAGGCGCCGCCAGTGCACTGCTCCTGACCTGGTGATCAAGATAATCATCTATGTATATTCCATTTGTGAAAGTTTACCGAGCTCTACATCCATGATGTGTATATATTTCTATTTATATGTTAAAATTTTTCTGGCAGGTGCGGTGGCTCACGCCTGTAATCCCAGTACTTGGGGAGGCTGAGGCGGACGGATCACGAGGTCTGGAGTTCGAGACCAGCCTGACCAACATGGTGACACTCCATCTCTACTAAAAATACAAATATTAGCTGGGCGTGGTGGCGCAGCACGCGCCTGCAATCTCAGCTACTCAGGAGGCTGAGGCAGGAGAATCCTTTGAACCAGGGAGGTGGAAGTTACAGTGAGCCCAGAATGATCCATTGCGCTCCAGCCTGGGCAACAAGAGTGAAACTCTGTCTTAGGAAAGAAAAGAAAAAAAAAAAAGAAAAGGAAGAAGAAAAAATGGACTGAAACATTTTTGGTTGACCCAAAGACTAAAAGTCCACAGATGGTTGAGTACAGGAAAAAAAAAAATTTTCCAAAATTAAAGCAAAGGAACAAATGCTGGGGGAAGAGAGAATTATTTTTAGCTTCCTAGCCCTGCATGAAACAAAAGACCTGCCACTGGCAACTGGAAAAAGGAGGGGGAACTCAAATGCACAAGGCCATAAATAGTTATACTCCTATTTAAGAAAGGCAAAAAAGAAGAGTCTCCAGCTTTGTAGCAATATTTAGTGAATAGAGCTTTGATGGTTAAAGAAAAACATCTGCCTTACCCATAAATTTTTAATTAAAGCATGTTAAAATTCTAATTAAAAATAAATTGTATTTCCTCTCTGTACTCCATTAAAGTTTTTTTTAAGTGCCTGTCCCACAAAGCAGTATTTTCTAGTTGAGAATTTACAGTGACTGATTTGGAACTGCTAGTAAGCAGTACATACATAACTTCCTACCGTGCATGGCCAACAATTCAGTGTTTTACATACATGAATGTGGCCCAAGTTCAAACCAATGATACAGCCTTAATGACGTACTATTTGCCCTAGATTCTCATGCCCCTTAATTGTATGTATGAAGGATTATGTAGTACAATATCACGGGAGTTTCAAAATAGGAGAGAAAGTAAGATGAGTTCATCTTTCTTGTTAGTTTGCTATCACTCCCCATCAAAATGAAGGCAGAAAGAACAACAGCCAGAGCAAGGGAAGTTTCTCTTGTTAGGTTTCAGTTCCATTAGGTCAGACAATACACGGTTCACTTAATTAACTGATTCCCACTTTGGCTTTTCAAGTATTTGGGCATCACTAACTCAAACTAGAACCAAATGACTCAAACTGTCCATTCAAAATTCTAGAAAACAAATATATACACTATGACCTTATACAATAAAAAAAAATGTGCATTTCCCAAACACCACCGCAGTGAAAAACATGGCATTCCCTTTTTAAAAAGAGATTTTTCCTTACTTTCGTCCCCCATATCAAGCTAACAATGATTACTTAAGTCAAATCTTAAATAAAGACTTTACCTTTAATTTCTTATTTATCTTGCAACAATATCTGTAAACCATTGCCAGATTGAGTGGTCCAAAATCTGCGTAGAAGCTTTAAAAACGAAAAATAAAAATGTGATGTACATTCTAGATGCTCTGAATATAAATGCCTTTTCTGGGTCTATAAGATCAAATTAAGATGAGAAAGCATATACCAAATAGTTATGGGCCAATACAACTTAAAGGTACTGTTTTACTAGTGGAAAACTATTCTAGTAAATAATGCCTATTCAAAAATACCACAAGTGCTACAATGCCTATATGTAACCTCAATGAATATGAACATACCTTCTAAATTAAAAAGGGTGTTTTTCCACACATATTTCCAAGGGCAAAACCACAATATCTTACTTAGTACACATTTATATCTCATTGTAGTGTAAATATTAGATTAGCAAATCTAAAAGTTTAAATTTAGGGAGTTTTTTTTTTTTTTTACTCTAAAGGTTTATGTTATTACTACAGGTGAAAAACAAGTATCCTGTAATTAGCAACCAACAGATTTGTAATTTTCCCAGGCTGTCCCATTTATAACCATACCTTTAGATTCTTCAAAAAAAAAAAAAAGTTACAATCTTTGAAAGAGCAATACTTACTTCTCATATTCAAGTTCATTATCTATGCTGAAATAATGTACATTTGATGCACTCTTTGGTCTGCTGTAGAGAATGGCAAAACAAAGGCGATCTGAAATGGAAAAATTGCAATGTTCCTTCCTGCAGTTACAAAAAACGTTTCATATATCATGACACAACTCTTTTCAGATGAAGTCCATTTTTCATTTTTTTTCATGCACGTTTCAGATGGTAGGAGTGGTAATGGGTAATTACAAAATATTCTGGCTATTTGGGTGGATAATAATCAATGAGCACATTTTTAAGAGAAACTGCCTTTAACCGTAAGTTTCAAAAGTGGTGATTTTTCATGTAGTGACATGATTTCTAAACAAACCTATTTTTGTAAAAGTTTAGCTCGCCTGGATTAAGACATTTCAGCAAATTGCAGCATGCATGTGATGGCTAGCATCAACCTTCTAAGTTTCTAGATGAATCTCACTACGTTTTTCAAGACATCCTAAAAAGTCATTTCAGTAAGACACTATTTTTTTTTTTTCTTAAAGAGAAAGAATGCTTTCAAAATTGCTTCAAAATTATCACTTACAGCTATAGAACAAACCATATGTTTCTCCAACTGTTCTCAGGGATCACGTCTTTCTAACTTGGAATCACTACTTCGGTATTTTTACAATTAGACAAATTACCATTAAAACAGAAGCAATGAGAGGTTTCTGCATGATGGGTCTGAGATGAACTTGTGTTGCATAAAAGCAGTTAGGCTGCTGTGAGGTTAGCAAGAATGGTAATGAGTAGTAAGGCTCAGGAGGCTCCACCCTTATTCCTTGCCTAAAAATCCTCGGGTGAAATAAAATCATCCACAATATCTAATAGTAATACTAGTGGTGCTAAGAAAATACACTCACAACGTGGCAAAATCAAGTACAGCCTTTAAAACATATACACTTTCAGCAGAGCCAGCTGGCACCCTTTCCCCAAATGGTAAACTTTTTTTTTTTTTTTTTGATCTGCAATTCAACTCATGCAACTGCTGCGTTTATTTCCTTGTAAACTCCTCAGCTAAAATTTCTTGCAACCACAAACACTCAAATGGGTGACAGGGCTTAATCCTTTCCAACCACAAGGACCTTTGATCCCTGTGACAGAGCCCAAGGATCTCGCTCCCGCGGGTGGGGAGGTGCAGCTCACCTACTAGGCTCAGATGCAGGCACGCTAGGGTCACAGCCGCCCACGAGCGCTGAAGCCCAGAGCCTGAGGACAAGTGCCGAGGCCACCCACGCGCAGGAGACAGAGGCGGCCAGGGCCCAGACTAGGGGCACCTCCCGGCCAGCGCCGCCCGCCCCGTCCCAGCGCGGGTGCCGGCGTCCCCGGGAAGCCCCCGCCCTCCCGGCTCACCTTTGATCACCTCGGCCACCAGAGCGGCCCCCGCGCCCTCCCGGCTCATGACTCCAAAGCATCTGGAAGGCGGGGCAGAGGCAAGGACGGCCAGCCGCCGAGAGGGGAGGCGCCGCGACCACACCCCCGAAGTTTAAAAAACAAAGTTTAAAGGGCCGCGCGGGGCAGCGACACCCCTCGGCGGCCCACGGCCGGACGCGACAGCGCAACCCCGGAAGTCCCCAACTCCTGGAAACAGCCCGGTGGGCGACGAGGGCGCGGGGAGGAACAGCACCCCGCCCCACCTCCTACTTTCTTCCCCGGCCCCCGCCCCGCCGCTTCGCCGCCCGCCTTCCCTCCCCAGCGGGGAACGCGGGGCGGCCTGTGCCTGCCAGGGCTCGAGTCCCAAACACCCCGCAGAGGGGACGTGGGTCAGACGCCAGCGGGCCTGCGGGGGAAGCGTCTGGCAAAGCTCCTTGGCGATTAAAGGACTTCGTGCAAAAGGGCTCGGTCCCAGACAGGGACAGACCCGAGGGTGACGCCGGCCGGGGCGGGGGCCTCCTGGCTCCTCCCACGCCGCAGTCCTGCCGCCAGGAGGTGCTGCAGCCGAGCCAGGCCCGGGACCCTGCAGGGCGCCCTCCCGGAGCAGGGCCCAGCGCACCCTCGCTCCGCCAAGACCCGCCAAGTAACCCAGCAGGGCCGGGTCTGATGGAAAACGGGCATCTTCAAAATCGTGCAAGATTTCCTGAGATCTCAGCTGCCTCAGAGAAAACGCTCTTCTTTTAATTGTGCAAGATTTAAAGGCAACCCTCTGGTCATGCGTTCCTTTAAAGGGACGGTTTGGAATGGTTTAAAAACAGAAATGTTGACGCCCGTTTTAAACAACCATTTAAAATGATTGTAGAGATAGAGAGTAGAAGGATGGTTATCGGAGGCTGGGAAAGGTAGTGTGGGGGTAATGGGCACAAAAAAAAAAACAGTACAAATGAATAAGACCTAGCATTTCACAGCACAACAGGGTGTGGATGACTATAGTCCACAATAGCTTAATTGTACATTTAAAAATAACTAAGAGTACAATTGGAGTGTCTGTAACACAAAAGATAAATGCTTGAGGGGATGGATACCCCATTCTCCATGATGCGATTATTGTGCATTGCCTGCCTGTATCAAAACATCTCATGCACCCCATAAATATATACACCTACTTGTACCCACAAAAACTGAACATTAAATAAAATATATTCTAAACCTGTGTTTGTATTTTAATCTCAAGTGAAAAAAATTGAAATCCAGCATAAGCATGATCCCAGTTGTTACAGATACCAAGGTGCTGGGACTGGGGTTCATTTTCATTCCCTCCTGTGTTTTCCCAAGTTTTCTGTAGGAAAGTGTTACTTTATACATACTTTTGCCTCAAAAGTAAACCTGCATACCTCCTAATCTTATTCTACAATTCCAGATGGATCAAAGACTTCTTAAAATATATTTTTAAAACCATGGATTCTTTTTTATACTCTCCAACTGGGGAAGACCTTGGTAAATGATACAAAATCTAAAAGCCACAAACACATTTTTAAGCAGTTTTGACAGCAAAAGACACATAAACGAAATCAAGAGATAAACTGGAAAAATATTTTAAATTCATCTCGAGAAGATACCTAACTTCAGTTTTACGTTATCACAAAAGAAATGCAAAGTTCCACTATGAGGTGCTACTTTTTCCTCAGACGGGCCAAATTCAAGAGAGTTGGGTAAGGTGCTGCGGCGTGTCGGGAGGTCGAGGGCACTCACATACATCGCCTGTGGGTGGGAATACAAACTGAGCCACCTCCATGGAGCCAACAAATGGGAAGTTCGGCAGAAATGTTAAAGACTGAAAACTGAAAACTGAAAACTAGCCAGACGTGGCGGCTCACGCCTGTAATCACAGCATTTTGGGAGGCCAAGGCGGATGGATCATCTGAGGTTAGGCATTCGAGCCTAGCCTGGTCAACATGGTGAAACTCCGCCTCTACTAAAAATACAAAAAATTAGCCAGTCGTGGTGGTGCACGCCTGTCATCCCAGCTACTTGGGAGGCTGAGACTGGCGAACCGCTTGAACCCGGGAGGTGGAGGTTGCAGTAAGCCAAGATCACGCTTTTGCACTGCAGCCTGGGCAACAAGAACGAAATTCCGTCTCAAAAAAAAAAAAAAAAAAAAGAAAACTGAAAACTAAAGATAGCCAAGATGGACTGTTAAGTACTACCATTTCTATGTGTGAGTTTAAATCCTACATACACATGTATACGATTATAGATTAAATCATGGGTAGCAAATCTCTGGAAGCAGCCACAAGAAACTATCAATGCCTTGGTAAGTCAGTGACTAGAAATAGGGAATGTTAAGAGAGATGTATGCCTTTTTACAGCTTTTGCATTGTACCATGTATTACCTATTCAAAATTACACCGCTTTTAAAAAGTCAACTTGCAGGCTAACTGTCTTTCCAAAGCTGACTCTTGATCAAGATAGGAAGCATTTAATGAGCACAGTACGAGGCAACCTGGAAAATATCCTTTGCGCGCATTTAAACAAGGGAACTGGTTAGTAACATGTTTTGGTTTCTACCTATCTCTTGAAATTCCAGTTTCTTTCAAAAAGCCCAGTTTAAACTAGAAAAGTGGCTAGACAGAAAAGGGAAGAAATTTTCCCTCCCAGCCCAAACCTTAAGTTCAATTCCCTAAGGAGTATTTTATGTATTACAGGCGGGGGAAAATCACTGATTTCTGATGTGCAATTATCTCTACATAATGCCAATATTTTATTGTTAGAGTAACACACCAATAAAGTACTACAGAAACTACAGTGCTGGGTTGAGGGTCATTTATTAGGACCTGGAACCAGAAACAGGTCTTTATTTTATTTTATTTTTTTTTTTTTGACGGAGTCTCGCTCTGTCGCCCAGGCTGGAGTGCAGTGGTGCAATCTTGGCTCACTGCAACCTCCACCTCCCAGGCTCAAGCGATTCTCCTGCCTCAGCCTCCCAAGTAGCTGGGATTACAGTCGCATGCCACCACTCCCAGCTAATTTTTAGTAGAGGTGTCAAACTCCCGACCTCAAGTGATCCACCCGCTTTGGCCTCCCAAAGTGCTGGAATTATAGGCATGAGTCACCGTGCCCGGCCGAAACAGGGCTCTTTACAAGGTTTTGCTTAAAGCTTGACGATTAACTTTATAATCCTGTTAAAAATCCATGTATCCCCCCATTGATGTTTCTGTTGTCAGAAACAGAAAGCAGCAGTCATCTTTTTGCCTATACATCCCTGTCGCACCACATCATCATTCCTGCTTCTTTGACTAATATGATATGGGAGAAGGAAACAAAATCTCATGATTTAAAAACGTTAGTAAAAATATTTAGGCCGGCCGCGGTGGCTCACGCCTGTAATCCCAGCACTTTGGGAGGCCGAGATGGGCGGTGTGATCACGAAGTCAGGACGATCGAGCGACATCCTGGGTAAACATGGGAAGAACCGTTATCTAAAAATACAAAAAATTAGGCCGGGCGTGGTGGCGGGGGCCTGTGGGGAGTCCAGCTTTTACAGGGAGCTGAGGCGGGGAGAATTGGTGCAACCCGGGGAGGCAGGAGCTTGCAGTGGAGTCAAGGATGGCGCGCCACTGCAGCCCAGGCCTGGGGCAACAGAGCGAGACTCCGTCTCAAAAAAAAAACTATATAAATCCATCCTTGGGACTGAAT